TATGTACATCTCTGTCACACACACTGGTGCTGTGCACACACCGTCCGGAGGAGAGAGAGGTGCTTGAGTGGGAAGTTGTGGGTTCACGACCACGTTCAGGTTCCCCTGCAGCCACGGCCGTGGGTCTCTTGTGCGTCCTCCCCCCTACCCCCAGCCACTCTGCCTCTAGATTGCAGGGACACCTTACCAACTCAGCGAAGTGCTACTTCAGCACTGAGTAGCCAGACATTCCCCGGGAATTATCCCACCCTCTGACACCACCGCCTCCATCCAGCTTCCCAGTCTTAGGAAAGGACGTGCCAGGGCCTCAGCGTCCAGCCTTGCACTGGACATCGACCCTGCCGAAGGAACCCCCGTGCCTCTGAATGCAGCCTCCCTGGGATGAGAGTGAGGGGGGACGTGGTGGGACCCGAACTAGTGACATGTTGGCCTGTGACACTAGGAGCAAACTCACCCTCTGTGCCAATGGCCCTGGGATGTTTGTGGCTCTCCAGAGCGCAAAGGGCCCAGACCGACTCTCTGCCCCTCACACCCACGCTGCCCTGGGGCTGTGGGGCAGGGGAGCTCCTCAGCCAGACATGGTACCTGTGAGTGCTGAGAGGGACGTGTCTTCCCTGGGAATCCCCCTCAGGCAGCCGCGTTCCTGCCTCTCTAAGCCCAGCGTCTGCAGCAGCGTCCTGCGCCGAGAGCTGGCACAGGGCCTTGCACTGGTTATAACCCAGCTCTGGGCCGTCCCAGGGGGGTTCACTCAGCCTCTGGGGAAGAAGCAGCATCTGGATGCAAACAGGCTGGGGACCAGCCCGTCTCTGTTTCTATGTTGATTATCCAGCTCTAGAAGTAAACAGAAATTAAGGGTGTGACTGGGGGCGGTCACAGATGACCCTTTGGGGGTGCCTCCCAGGGTGCTGACATGGCCCCTGCCACTCACCTTCCTGCTCTCTGGGGCTCCTCACCACCCGGTCCTGCTGGGCCAGCTCCCCTATTCTCCCCCAGCCAAGGCCTCGAGCTGAGGTCCCTGCCCCCACCGAGAAGCAGCACAGACACTGAACCAATTCAAATCCAAGGCGAGGGCAGTTTAGGGCTCAGCACCCTGGGAGACCCCTCCCCAGATGGGATCAGACCCCAAAGAATTAGGTGAGCCCCTTTAGCAATGAAAGGGGGAATGTGCATGTTGGTTGCCCCCCCAGGTAACAATCTCTTACACTGGGTTTGATAGAAAATAAAAATGGTTTTATGAAGTGGAAGCAGTGGGATTTGAGTAGGAATAAGTGAGAACAGGCAGAGCAAAGTAGGTTACAAATCAAAAGAATCAAACGGCTTGGCTAATTCTACATTGAAACCTCGGCACAAACTCCTCACAGTCACCCTAAACCCTCTTTTCCAGCTGCCCCTCCAAACCAGGGCTCTCTTCCACTCCCTGGGGTCACTGGCCCCTTCCTTCAGGTGCAGCCCAGCCAAAAGACCCAGGCCTCTGCTTCCCTATTCCTTTTGGTAAGGAGTTGAGGCCACTCGCTACCAACCGCTACTCAGACTGAAGGATGAAAGATTGTTGAACAGCGGCTCAGCTAGAAGTTGCGGGTAACACCCTCCATGTCTCCCCTTCACACACTGGAAACTCACCAAATATCCCCCCTCCACGTGTCTAATTTTCCACACCCAAATGATACGTACGACAGAGTAAGATCAACAGAACCAGCAGACCATGACATGCAGATCGATGGGTTACATGAAATAATCCACTTAAACCACCTTTGATTTATGTATATTCATGTCCATGAGTCCATTTCATAAAGCATGGGGGGGTCCGTCACAAAGGGAGCTTCCCAAAGAGAGGGAAGAACTCCTGGGCAAGGTTGGGAATAGCGTTCCAAAATTGACTTCTGCAGCCCTTAAGGTCGATGTGACGGGCACGGTAGAGTGGATGCATCACTTAGATCAAATTTAGCCACATAAGGTCAGTTTTCCAAGGGTATGTCTACAGTAGCCCCCTAGTTTGAATTAGGGAGGCTAACGTAGGCATTCAAAGGTACAAATCAAGCCTGGGATTTAAATAACCCACACTTGATTTGCATCTTCCCATCTGGTCGCCATTTTTGAAATTTACAAGTCCGGACTAACTGCCC